AGACGACCAGAGGTTTGGCATGTACTGTCATTTCCCGCAAGATCAATGGACTGCTCGCCAACATAACCGTGGAACGTACCTTGATTGAAGAAATTAAAGCAAGCCAACGTGAAGATAACTTTTTAAAGAAAAAGTACAAGGAGCAAAGGAGTACACCTGATCCTGATTACATTATGAGCAATGGAATACTAAAATTTTGAAATCGAATTTGCATACCCGACATTCCGGAACTCAAGAAGAAGATACTGGTGGAAGCTCACAGCTCGAGATTTGCAGTCCACCCTGGTGACACAAAGATGTACTAGGATCTGAAAGAACACTACTGGTGAACAGGAATGAAAAGAGACATAGCAAGCCATGTCTCCAAATGTCTGCATTGTCAGCATGTTAAAGTAGAATATCAGAGACTTGCAGGACTGCTGCAACCACTCTCTATCCCTGAATAGAAATGGGAGCACATCACTATAGACTTCGTGGTCGGACTACCACAGTCATTTTCGAAGAATGATGCAATATGAGTTATAGTAGATCGATTGACGAAGTCAGCGCATTTTCTACTAATCAAAATCATGTGCTCCTTTAATACGTTTGCCACCTTGTACATCAAGGAAGTTATTCGTTTGCATGGCACCCTAGTTTCAATCATGTCTGACCGAGACCCCCGCTTTGTGTCTCACTTCTAGAACAAATTACAGGAGGCTTTGGGGACTACACTGAAGTTTAGCACTGCTTATCACCCACAAACTGATGGTCAATCCGAAAGAACAATCCAGACGTTAGAAGACATGTTACGTATATGCGTGTTGAACCTCAAAGGTAACTGGGATGAGCACCTACCTTTAGCGGAATTCACCTATAACAACAGCCATCAAGCAAGCATTGGAATGGCGGTGTACGAAACTCTGTATGGAAGGAGATATCGACCACCTCTATGCTGGACGGAAGTCGAGGACAAGAAATTGTTAGGCCCTGAGATCGTGCAAGTCACAAGTGAGAAAATCCAATTCACCAATAGGGAATTCGCACTGCTCAGAGCCACCAAAAAAGTTATGCAGATACACGGAAAAGGGACTTGAAATTTCAAGTAAGGGATCATGTGTTCCTCAAGATCTCACCAAAAAGAGGAGTTATCCAATTGGAAAAGCAAGGAAAGCTAAACCTACGTTACATCGGGCCATTCGAGATACTGGAAAGGATTGGTCCTGTAGCCTATCGCCTTGCACTACCACATGAACTATCAAATGTCCACAATGTGTTTCACGTTTCAATGCTTCGACGATATCTTCGAGATCCATAACATGTTGTTGATTATGAGAACCTGAAAGTTCAAGAGGATTTCTCTTACGAAGAGCAACCAGTGTAGATTCTCGATCGTCATGATCAAGTTCTTCGAAACAAGACCATACCATTAGTAAAAGTCTTATGGCGAAATCATCGTATCAAAGAAGCAACGTGGGAAACGAAAAGTCAAATACAAGCCAAATACCCACACCTCTTCGACAATTAAGGTACGTCAAGTTTGGAGATAAATTTCTATTTAGAAGGGGAGAAATATGACACCCTGAACGTTTAATTAAATACCACATAAATATTTATAATTGCATATAAGTGTGGGTGTATGTGATAATATATTATTAAAATAATAAATAAATAAATAAATACTAATAATAATAGTGGGTGTGATAGTAAAATAAATAATTAATTTTATGTTGGTATACAATAATGTGTAATTTAATTAGGGATTAATTTATTTATATAGTTATGTTAGAAAACTAGACAAAAGTGTAATTACTATAAACATTCATTAAGATAAGTATAAATCCATGGTGATTTATGATCAAATCTAGGAAGAATTTGAGCGATGCCACGTGCTGGCCTCAAGGTGCTTTTGCCTCCCTATAAATAGGGAGGAGTTGATCAAGATCAGTGAAAAAAAAAAAAAAAAGGCACGTAAGTTATTGGAAGTAGGAACTTATAGTAGGAAGGTTGTGATAGTGGAATAAGACTAAGGGTTAATATTAAGGTGAGTTATATTATACCTTAAGTCACCATAATATATTTTTCGTATGTTTTGACTTACTATAATTATTTTATACGAGTTATATTTTATGAGTTATATTAATACAAGTTATACTTTATAAGTTATATTAGTATTTCAATTACGTAAATTAAATTCTGAACCCTATTTGTGTAAAATGAAATACATGGATATGTTTGTTTAAATTTTAAAAAATATTTGACTATAACCTTATAAACAATTATGTTTTGTAAGTACTACCACGGGAGTCTCATGCCTTGGGAGACTTAAATAACCATTGGTCTCTGTTTGGCCACTTTGTGATCCTCTGTTTGTCATGAATCCATGGACCTCTGTTCTAACTGTTACTCATGTGACCTCTGTTTTGTTCTGTTTTATACCGTGTGGTTATTTATTTATATAATTTTTGTATTTCAGTTTCTGCCACTTAAATAATTTATTTATCAAATTAAGTTATGTAAATATTTTCGTTTAACTTGCTATCCATGGTTATTTTGTATTTCCTATACTCTTGGCATAATATTTCTCACTCTGCTGTGTGCTTATAGCTGTTACCCTTTCAGGTGATGAGAAAAGGAAGACCCATAACCACATGTAGTTGAACCTGTACAAGAAATTGATGCAGATCCGTTAATTTGTTTTTCTTTTCTTTTCTTCCTGTCTTTTTTTTCTGATGGTCGGTCGCTTCATAATAAAATAATAAAAGCCTATGGATGAACTTTTTTTAAAATAGTAGAATGAAGTAACTTTCTATTTAAATATTTTTATTTTCATTTGCCTTCACTTGCACAATTTAATTTGCTACGATTAAAATAAGTTAGTAAGTTGCGATTCTAACTCTAAAGCCTGGGGTTGGGTTGTGACACCACCGCCACCACTACTACAACTCACACCATTACTTTCACAACTATCAATATTATATATTATCATGATCTTTATAAATTTTTTCTAACTTGTTTAAAAAATAAATAAAATAAAAACTTATTTCATTCCATGAGTTTAATAGGTACAACCAAATATGTGAATGAGAATTATCATCATATTCCTATGTCATTTCATGTTAGCAACCAAACAATGGACTGCAAATGGACATTACATTCCATTCAATCTTGTATTACATTATCATTCACATTCTCATTCTCATTTCATTCCATTCAATCTTGTATTACATTATCATTCTCATTCTCACTTTATTTAGTTCTATCGTACCAAACATGCTCTTCGTATTTCAGCTTTCCATTGTTAATTTTTAATTTTAAAATTTTAGTTTATTAAACAACACTTCACATAATATTTGATTAAACTATAGATGTAATTTTTTTAAAAAAATAATGACGATAATTAATGATATATAAGGGTTTTCCATTAACATTACCAATGGCCTTCCTATCGGATAATGATGGACTGGTGTTTGGATAATATCACTCGTTTTCCCTCCATAGTCGATTCTATACCCATCCCATGGAACCCTATTTTATTTTATTTTATTTTATTTAAAGTGTATTTCGTAGAAATTAATTAGTTTGTTACAAACATTACTTCTACCAGTCCACTGATTTGATCTCTAAATACTCTCAAAATATAATGACAAAAATAATTTTATTTGATTCACACATTTGCAAAAATTGATTAAAGTAAAAATTAAATCTGATAAAATGTACACAACATTCAAAACGAATTTTCAGAAAAAAAAAAAAAAAATTCCGTATTTTTTAATTTATATTTATTTTTTTTAATATTCTAACTTCTAAGTAATTTTTTTTATTTTTAAATACACCTACTATAAATACGCTTTAAAAATATAATATTTGTAAAAAAAAATCTTTACAAAATTCACTAATACCCAAAAAAAATGAGAATTCAATAGATTTTTCGTATTCTTATATATTTACTGATTTTTAAAATATTTTACCTTTTAGATAAACTTAATGAGAGGGAGATTTATGATCTAGAATTGGGCCGAGCTAACGGCCGAGCAAGTTGAGAGCCTAATGGTGCATGGGGCCGAGATGACCGGCGATCCGCCCGTAGATGGGCTGCCAGGACTTGGGCCGGGCAGGAGTTGGGCCAAGTATGTGCCGCCCCAGACCGTAAAGAAGCTGATCGGCAAGGCAGTGCTCGGTTGGACTGAGCTGCTTGATTAGGAGATGGTGAAGCCTGTCAAGCTGAGTGACCGGCGCCCGGAAAGGTTTGGTCAGCCGAGATAATCGATTGATCGGCAGGAAGGCCGGCCATAGGAGGTGCCCCGGGCTGGGCTCTGCCGAGATGCTGCCTAACTCGGTCCTCCTTGGGCTTAGCCAGTGAAGTGCTTGGGTATGAAGCACAGCACGGCAGTGGATAGAGCAGCTCGGCAGCCGAGCTCCAGCTGAGAAGGCAGGCAGTTGAGATTAGGTGATGTTCAACAAGGTTTATGCTGACAGATGGGATAGCGGAGCCACGTGTCAGGAGATGACTGGGAGTGGATATGGGACGCAGAGGGTATATAAGCATGTCTGCGCCCCCCATACGCAGACAGACGAACACTTTGTAAGGAATTCTTACACTCAAACACTCCTCTCTCTCTCTATCCTAAGGTGTGTGCTAACTTGATCGTCGGAGGGTTTTTCCGGCCACACACCGCCGGGTAGCTCACCGTTATTTGCTCGCAGGTGATCAGACATAAACGGAACTCGGAAGAAAGGAGTACGGGCTTGCCGGAATATTTGGTCCCCGTACACTTAAGTAAAGTATATCTTAAAAAATAAAAAATTATTTAAAATTTAAAAAATATTCATTAAAAAAAATATAAAAAATAAAAACTTAATTTTTAAAAAATTAAAAGCAAACATAAATATTTTTGTAGTTATACCATTCGTATTTATTATTTAATAATTAATAATTTTTGAGATGCTAATAATCGGAGGCTTCCAAGAACGATCGTAATCACGAACACTATATTATAGGGAGGTCTTGGACTATGCGGAAGGACTGAGCCACGTTGCCCAACTTTGACCAATCATACAGCTGTCAAATTCCTATTCGTCTAAACACATGGACCCGCTGTACGATACTGTTATTTATTTATACACACCCTATTTATTTATACACACCCTATACTATTCTCCGATAGTCACACTCTCTCTCTCTCTACACTCTACACTCTACACCGCGCTACGCTACAAACAACGCTCCTCCAAACCCTAGCTAAGCGGGAACAATACTCTCTCTCTACAAAAATCTCCTCCTCTCTCTCTCTGTCTCTCTCTCTCTCTAGAGATCGGCATTTTCTGGCGATGTGATTTCTGCAACTGCACAGTTGTCCGTTTCAACACCTGGTCTGAGAGTGAGAGAGAGAGAGAGCATCAGATTCTGATAGCGTAGATCTTATTTAGAGGAAAAATTGTATTTGTTGTTGCATGATCGCCGGAGATGGCTTCAGCTTGCGTGAACAAGATTGGAATGTCGCCGGATAATTTTCTGGACCTTCCGCCTACTTATCCTTCGTACGGTTGGTTGAGTCCTCGAATCTCATTCAGCCGAGAGATTCCTGACGACGAAGCATCGAAGATCACCGGAGGAAAGCTGGAAAAGGAGGACGTTGCTCCGGAATCGTCAGATCCGGAAGTTTCTGGGAAGGATTTTGGTGATTTCGAGTTCAGACTTGAAGATCCGGTTACCATGCTTCCCGCCGATGAGCTCTTTTCGGATGGTAAGCTTGTGCCATTGCAACTCTCCGTGATCCGTCCTGCGGAGGCGTCGACGGTGTCGGCGGAGATGAGATCGCAGGATACGCCGAAAGCTCGCCGGAGAGCGGAGGTTTCAGGTACGGATCCTTACTTGTTCTCGCCCAAGGCACCGAGGTGTTCGAGTAGGTGGAAGGAGCTTCTAGGATTGAAGAAACTTTACCTCAACAACAATGCTAAGCAAGATAACAACCACAAGGTGTCATCGTCCTTCCCTTTGCATAACAGTAGTAACTCTAAATCTCTAAAGAACTTTCTCCATCGAAGCTCAAAATCTTCGAGCTCGGTTCTGGAGTCTTCGCTCAGTCTTCCTTTGCTAAAGGACTCAGATAGCGAGTCCGTTTCAATTTCGTCTCGCTTATCTCTTTCGTCCTCATCGTCTGGTCACGAGCACGATGATCTCCCGAGGCTTTCGCTTGATTCCGAGAAGCCTAATCTCAGTCAAAACCCGATCGTTCTCTCAAAGAATCAGAATCCAAACTCCAGCACCCCTAGGGTGCGATTAGTGAAGCGAAGGGCTGCGTCGTCCGAAATCCCCACCGGTACGAGAATAGAACGAAGCCCAAGGCGCAGAGCAACAACGGAATCAACACCTGCTACAGTAGTCCGAGGTGTGTCCGTTGATAGTCCGCGTATGAACTCATCGGGAAAGATCGTGTTCCAGGGCTTAGAGAGAAGCTCAAGCAGTCCAAGTAGCTTCAACGGTGGTCCAAGATTCAAACACAGAGGAATGGAGAGATCATACTCTGCCAACGTTAGGATCACTCCGGTTCTAAACGTTCCTGTTTGTTCACTTAGGGGTTCTTCAAAGTCGAGTGTCTTCGGATTTCAGCTCTTTTCTTCTCCACAAAAGAGGGAAACCGGTGGCGGTGGAAGCGGTACCGCAGGAGGAAACAGAGGCCAACACAATAACAGCAAGAACCGGACGGATCGAGCTTGATTCAAATCAATCAATGAGCAGAGTTGACTTGAGTTTGTTGGTAATACCTTCAACATTGATTTAGAAGTTTCTGTTATGACTTTTTTTTCCCGACCCGAGGCAATACCGCATGACAATGTTAGTGGTGGAATTCATTTCCTTTTTGCATTTCTTCAGCTTATATATATTGTATATATGCGGGGGACTGTGTTTGATTGTTCACTGTTAGTTATTCTAACTCTACTTCTGAGAGCTAATGTTAGATTATTTTTTTTTAGGGTTTTCTTGAAAGATTTGGAATCTCTCTCTCTCTCTGTTCATTTTCCTCGCAAAATTGTTTTGTGATGTTTTCAGACTTCTGACTGTGACTGTGATGGGTTTGTTGTGTACGCGCTTTGAATGCTGGTTGGGAACGTGGGATTTGGATTGAATGGGCCAGTATAATCATTATGCGTCTTGCCAGGGTCAAATTTTAATTTTTTTTTTTTTTTTTTTTGTTTTTCCATTCTAGAAGAGTGGTGATTCAGCTCACTAATTTTTGGACCACTAATAGTTCTAATGAGCTTAAAAAAAAAAAAAAACAAACTCAAGCCAAAACATCACATCACTCTGGTGAGGGTCACTGTGCCACATCATTAGTGATACTCTAGAGTTCCTAATTTAGTGCACTAAAACATTATTCATTCTAGAATGAAAAATGCTTGGGAGCAGTGCTCTCACTAATTAGGTGGCAGTGGGTCCCGCCATTAATGATGTGATGTTTTGGTCTTTGAGTTGTATTTTTTTTTTTTTTACTTTTTTAATACATTAGTGCTATTAGTGGTGATGTTTTTAGTGGGATGAATCATTGTTGTTCTAGAATTGGGGAAATGAAAATGAGTGAAGCACTAATTAGTGATGAGTAATGATTCATCCCTCCTTTTCCCCTCACCCCCTTTGACCCCCTCTCTCTCTCTCATTGGTTACCTTTTCTTTTTCTTTTTCTTTTTTTTCTTGCTCCACCAATCACCTCCTGCCACGTGGCAAAGGAGGTGAGGGGGTGACCCCAAAAGGGGGTCCCAAACATTATTCAATTAGTGATGATGTGGCAGTGGGTTCCACCAAAAATGATTTGATATTTTGGTCTTGGTGGTGTATTTTTTTTTTATCGAGTGTCATGTCATTAATAGTTTTTTTAGAGTTTCAAAATTAGTGGTCTCTATCATTGTTGTTTAGGAAATGATGCGAAAACATAAACAGATTATCAGAGGCGCCATAGCGTTAAAAGTCGGTAAAAAGTTAGTTTTTTTATTTTTTTTGGTTTTTTGATAAATTTTTTTAGTTAAAAAAGTTGATTTAAGACTAACGTGTAACATGTACCTCAATTAATTTTGAGATTCACATAAAACAACTCAGGGGTGGCTGACATTGTGGTTAAGGTTTGGGGTTTAAGTCCCAAGATCCCAGGTTCAATTCTTTCCTTCCTAGGCCAATCTCCTGGGCGAAGCAAGGACACCTTGGTGATCTTTCTCTTCGCTCGGAACGATTAATAGGACATCTTGGTGATCTTTGTAAGGAGCGTCACCTTAGACCTGCTGGAGGGTAAGAAAAATTTTCCTATAAAAAAAAAAAAAGAGATTTTTTGATTTTTTTTTTTTTGTAAAAAAATTAAAAAGTCAAAAAATTCGAAAGTTGCCAAAAAAAAACTATTTGCACGTCAGTCTGATCCCAAACTCGTTTTTCATTAACTAATTTTAATAGTTCTTTATTTTTCATAATATTTATAAAAAATTTATCAGTTATTTGTGTTTTTTTTTTTAAATCTTAACGCCAATAAAATTTTCCTTTATTTTTCATCAAGGTTTCTTACTTTTTTTTTTTTTTTTTTTTGAACAGGTTTCTTACTTTTTATTAGTATAGTTGGCATTACTAATGCGTGGCATTGATATAACAAAAAAGCCAACGTTTTTCACTACCTTCCCAAAACGCCAACCTTCCCAAAACACTGATATTCCCATTTGGGAAGAGAAAAAAAAGTCACTTAAAAATTTACCAAATTACCCCTTGGGATATTATAATTAATTAATTTAAAAAAGTGTTTTTAATTAAAAAAGTAAATATATTTTGGTCATTTTAGACTGATGTGACACTTTTAAAAAATATTAAATCAAAAATCAAAAAAACCAACTTTTTATTAACTTTCCAAATCACTTCTAAAAAAGCTAAAAAGTTTGATAAAAAGTCAAAAATCAACTTTTTACCAACTTCTCAAAACACCCCTTAGTATAGTTGGCATTACTAATGCGTGGCATTGATATATCTAGGTAGTACCATCTCCCCTTGAAATTTGAAAATGATATTTAATTAATTAGTTCCAAGATTGACTAAATCAGATTGATTTAATCATTGTTGGTTGTTGGTTATTCTTTAATTCATTTCCTAGGAAAAGTTAAATTTTATTCCTGTTTTCCTTCAATTATGTTGCAAGTTGTAACCCAAAAAAAAAAAGAAAAGCAATTGGATTTGGTCATTCTTTTTCTTATTGGGGAAGTAGTTTATGTATTTTTTTTTTTAATTGGCTTTTTAAAATTCTTGGACCTAAAGTAAAAAAGTTCAGTGTAAATTAGAAAAAATTTGTTGAACGCAAAAAAGTCTCAAATTCGGATAAACTTTCGCCAATTATGATAAGATGCTAACGCTATGTTTGATTGAGAAATTTAAAAAATAAAAAGAAAAAGGTAGGTGAAATCTAAGTAAAATATATCTGTATTTTACTTAATTTTACATATCTTTTTTTTTTTTTAAATCTCTCAATCAAATACAACATAAAAGATTGTTATAATATTATTGCGAACTTTGTGTTAAATTGAGTGAGAGCGGATTAAAATTCAAACAAAGAAATCGAGTGGGTGTTATTTTAAGTTCTATCATCTCTCACATTTTTTATATATTTAAAAAAAAATCTTAAAAAATCAAAAAAAATCAACTATTAGTCATATTTCCAAAATTACCCATTTTCTGCATATCTACAGCCTTATAATTTTCTAGACGTAGACAATCTGCATTCATAATTTTCACACCGAAGCTATAATTGTTTTGTGAAGATAGAAAGTTGAAATGCGCGATGTAAGTGGAAAAAAAGTGTGCAACGTTTGGCATAATCTATATAATTTATTTTTTTATTTTTTTTTATCACATTACCTCCTTATTTTTTTGCACATCTTTTCGTAAAAAGATAAAAAGTGTACTTTTTTAGGACACCCCAAACCAACCATTACTATGAGTTCATATTTCGGCTATGTTTGAATTTTGATTTCTGCTAGACTTTGGGGGGTTAGCTCTTTTTTTAATTTATTATAATTATAATTTTAAATAAAATTATTGTAAAGAATATCATTAATTTTGAGACATTTCATCTCACAATTAATCTTACATACCTACTATATTATGAATTAAGGTTTATAAGAGTACCAATCTCTATCACCACCCATCCATCTTTCTCAAATTTCACATTCAAAACATACCATCAAAACCTTGAAAACCCTTTGGCGGTATATTCTGACAGTAACAGTAGCAACCATTTGATTATCTACACTTTTCCGGCTATGACAATGAGTGAAATTTTTTTTGTCAATCACAACTCCATAAGACAATAAGAGTACAATAATAAAAACTTAGAAAAAATTCATAACTTTGATGTTGTTCATAGCTAAGAAGAGATTGGCCTTGTACGAGTAAGTTTCTTGAAAAAAAAATGGCAAAACTAATAAAATATGTTTGTCATTTTTTCAGGGACTGAACTCCCGAACATATAACCGAAATTCGGGAACACAGGCCCGAACATTGTTTATTTGTTCCGGAACCGGTAACCAAACATTAATTTTGAACGTTTTGTGATTTGAGATAAGTCCAGAATGAAGAAAACTCGAAGAACTGAACCGTTTTAAGAACTGTAAATTTGAGATTTTAATCTCCGAGAAGTGATTGTATGATAGGTTAAGATATGTAAGATTGGTGACAACCATAGACAACTTTTGTATTAGAATATCCCCTGAAAGATTATTGTAGCTCAAATCAAGAGTTTGGATTTGAGAATAATAAAAAATAACAGATGGGAAGTTGGTCAAATCAGCAGAGATAGTATTTTTCTTCTTCTTCTTCTTGGGTTTTGAGAAGGATGAGACTCTTCTTCATCTTAGTGGGTTTTGTTAGGGTTTTTAGAATGAAGGGTTTTTTGGGGGGTGTGCATTCAATGAGTGGAATGTTTAAAGATAATTTTGATATTATTTGGAGGGAAAAAAGAAACTTTAATGGTTTTAAAATTTATAAGTGGAGATCCAGAGAAATAAGATGTTCAAAATAATTTATGAGATGCTAATAGTACTATTATCCTTTTTCTTGTTTTACAATTTCCAATCTTTGGTCATGCATCTCGCCAAATAAATCCATAATACTTTTTATACCTAATTTTCAAAAAAAAGACTTTTGATCCCCAATTTTCAGAAAAATTCAATCCAGAGGGCATTAGTTTTTTTCGGACTTGCATAATGAGTGTTGAGAAATTTGCTGTGCCTGAAACTAAACACTTGGAGAAAATAATAAACAAAATCGTATAAATATATTTTTTTAATGAAATTACAAGAAAATTATATGATTATACTTATTAAGTCAAATAATTTTTTATATAATATATATATTAGATATAAATTCACAACACTTAATATATTGCACATCCACAAAATAAGCCACCAAATAAAATATATCAGAATACAAAATAGATCTCAAAAGGAATAAAGAGAATCTCTACACAACGAAGATACGAGTCTCAACATAGGAAGAAAAAATAAAACTCCACAAAGTAGAAAAAACAAACCTCCATAAAAGGAGAAAATCTCCATAAAAAAAAAAAAAACAAACAAACAAACAAACAAACAAAAACAAAATAAAAAGAAAACGATTAAGTTAAAATTCGGAGATAAACTGTTTTATTTACCATCCATCACATTGTGTGAGGCGCAACTTCTTTTTGTTAACATTATTTTTTATCCTTAACTCACAATTGAGCAGGCTAATGTGGGGCTATGGAAAAATATATGTATCTTTTTTCTTTTTCTTTTTTTTTTTTTTTTTTTTTTTTTGAGTAAGTAATACATCTTTCTTGATATTAGAAAAAAATACAATTAAGTTTTATATAATTAAATTAAATTTTCTTAAAATTCTAATTTATATAAAATTTAACCTCATTTAAAAAAAAAATAATATTATTATATATTTAAAATATATATTATTGATTATTGATATTCTCTTTACATCCTACACTATTTTATGTTTAGAAAATAGTGTGACAATCGTTTTTAGAATATAGTTAAAAGTTAATTTTTTGATTTTTTTTTATTTTTTAAAAAAATGTGTAAAAAATATGAGAGATGATATGACAAAAAATGAGTTAAAA